GAGGTGATCTTTGCCATGGAGTGAGTAGTGCTCATCTTTTACTCCAGCTGACCCCATGCTGCAGCACAATGCTAGATGGCACTGTGCTCCTACAGCTCCCATCGCTGGGATGAGGTACAAAACAAGTGCAGTCAAGCCACTAGTGCTCATTTGGCTTTTTTCATGGATGAACTGCCCAAATCCCAGATCAGTAATTACATTCTTCCAGTTCCCAAGTATATCCAAATGAACATACTTTTCTTCCTCATTCCTGTCCTGAACTGTCACCACACCACACTAAAACCACCGAGATCAAGAGGTCATGTTCTTTCCAGATAATACAGTGACCCCAGGGCCAGATCCATCTGTACAACTGCTGTTCCCCTTCAGCCTGGTTCTCCCTTGGGTGGAAATTTGCCCTTAGATTGACTGCAATAGCTCTTGTTTCCAAGCCAGACTCATTTTCCTCTTGTGTGCCCCTCTGATCCAGCCCATCCCCTAATGGCAAAGGGAATCAGGCACACACTGACATCACCTCAGCTCCCTAGGACATACTAAGTGCAGAGGTCACAAGGCCTATACAGCAGATACTCTCCTAGACCTGCTAATCCGGTGTCCTAGCTCAACGTGTGGTTCTGACGGGACTAGGGTGCTGGGTTTCCATTTACTGTTTATTACTTTTGAAACAGTTCACGTTTTGAGACATAAGCCGTCTCGTCTCCCAGCTGTACTCCAGCCCAAGCCAGCACGTAGACAGTTAACACATGGATGAATGCAATTTCTGATGATTCACAATGTTATCCCAACACTCCCCAAATTCCTGAGATGGGGGAAAGGGCTCCTGGAGAGAAACTGAAAAGCAGCCTACATCAGAGTAGCAAGTTCACTTTAATCACAGAAGGCAGCTTAAACGCAAGCTCATGGCAGATCTAAGCCACCGCAAAAATGGGTTTTGAACAGAAACATTATGGGAAGCTTCACAAAGTTGTTCTGTGATCCTAATATGAAGTAATAAGCTGTTTACCCGGCAGGTCTATACTGGAATTAATTGACAAAGCAGGGGAGATTAATTGCTATTATTTCCCTGTCAGCTTCACTCCTCCACATGCACTCATTCAGCTCACTGAGCTCACAGAGGGGCAAAATGTGACTTCCCCACCTGCTGCTCCCAACCTTTCACTGTGTTAATGTCTCCGAACTACCTCAAACACGACAAAGTCCTTTAAACAAAGGCAAGATCCAGAAGGGCAACCTGACCCTAATCCCCTTCAAGTACTAATGAACCCAAAACAGATCCCGCAGAATGAACACCCCGGCTCCCCCATCTCTCCCCATCCTGTGCATGTGTCGGCTTTTCTGCCCATAGGAGCAGGCCAAGGGTTTTGAAGGGATTAAGCAAACCTGTGGTTTGGTGAAGTGAAATAAAATCCCCGCTCTCTGAGCAGTGCCAAAGCACTGAGGGAGGGAAACGGCCCTGGATGCACAGAGAGACAAGAACTCTGACTGGTAGCACGGACAGACTGGAAGAACTTGAAGACATTCCCCTTGGAAGAGGTTTCTGCTCATGGGGGCTGCACCTTAACTGTCTTTGCACTTGCAATTTAGACCTTGGAATAAAGCCTGTTCTCACCCGTCCAGGTACAAAGGAATGCTTTTGTGGGATAACCTGAGGTGTGAAGTTCACCCCCCCCATGGACACCAAAGTGCTTTTCAGATTTAGCAGCTGTTAGTGGGAAGACAGGGAAGCAAACTTGTCTAAAGGTACCTGGTTTAGAATAAGAGCATCCATGCAGGGGGTTATACCAGCAAAGCTAGATCCATATATACTAATCCAAGGGGAAAAATGTTTTCCTTATAGACAAGGCTAGATGCAGACTCAAGACCATGCTCCCGGCTATCCTGGGAAAAGTTACACAAGGCTTTCTTGTAGCTTCAGGTTTGTCTTTCCCCCACGAGATGGCAGCCTGACAACACATGGAGCAGGTTATATTGAACCGAGGGCTGGAAGAATGCAAGCTAGGTCTGCAGTGTGTCTTTATACAAACTACAGCTCAAAACAGCACTGAGGTGTTGAAATGCAGGATGATTCAACGTTACAGAGAATGAAGGAGGAATGTTTTTATCTGAGGGTTGAAATGAGATGCAGCAGTAGCAAGGCAGACAGACAGAGCCAGGGGGCTGTTCCCCTCAGCAGCTGCAAAGAAAAAGTCTCACACTAAAAGTCCCCCACATTTATCTGCCCAACTCATCTCCCTGCTATGGCAGCCCCTGTCCATCAGTGCTTGAATCCAGTTAAACACCCCTAAGGCCAGAATGTGCCTCAATAAGCAGCCACTCAGGCTCATCCAAGTCCAGACACCAGCATTACCTGAGTATCCCGGTGGGCAATGGCAAAGGAAGCTGTTAACCAGATCTTCACAGCGTGCTCCGTGCTGACATGGCTGGGACTCGCATTCATCGATGTTGATGGAGCAGGTCTCCCCTTTGAGATTGAAGGCACAATCCCATTAGAAGGACATCAGTACCTTTAAGCAGCCAGCCGGAGGCCATGGGCACACCCAGCCAAAGGTCTTTGCCTCTTCTTTAGTATCTTTCCCTCCAGAGATGCCAGGGACCCTTCAGAGGCATGACTTGTCCCTCAATATCCACTTGTCAAACAGGTAGTTATCCCCATTTATAAAAGGGGGAAACTTAGGCACAGAGAGGTGAAGGGAATTGCCCAAGATTATCCAATGAGGCAGTAGCAGAGGTGAGATCATGACCCCATTCCCTCCACAAGCAAGAAACCAAACTCCCACATTCTCCAAGCAGGGCTTTGTTCTGTCCTCCATGAACCCACACACACTCCCAAACCCATGCTCCTGCAAACAGTTTAAAAAGTAGGGAAAGAGTAGAAGCTCTGTCGAATACCCCAGGGACCTCGCACTCAAGGAGCATATAGTAGGCAAGCCTTTCTTCTCTTCCTCCTCCCCGCCAGCAATGGGCATAGCTGCCACAAGAGCAGCCGCTGCACTATGTGGGGAGACTTAAAGTCTTATATGGGACTGCAGAGAGCTAGACGCTTCCTCCACAGTCTTCCCTGTGCTCATGGGAACAGCCATGAAGACCACCAAGCTCCAGTTGCCGAGTACTTGGCAGGATACTAAAGAAGGGCCCTGAGTGGGGGTGGCTGGAGGGGTTACCACTCAAAGCTGCTTGTATTAGGCACACACAGCAAAGGAGCACTGGCACATGCCCACTATTTGAGGCAGCTGCCCAGCCAAAATCATCTGGGTGGCTTTCAGTGCATCACTGCAGAGAGCACATCGCCATCCCCTCTGACCCAACCTGTGCAGCTGTCATTCAACAGGGCAGAGCACATGCCAGTGTACTACTCACCTTCAAAGCCTGTGTCACTGCAATCACACTGGTAGCTGTGGAGGACAGATAATACAACAATGCAAGAGCTTGCAATGGCAAAGTGCAGCCCTTTCTGAAGGGCAAGCAAAGAGATTTATGGGTGATGCCTCCAACCCTCAGGCCCTCCCACAAGCTGCGAGAAGAGCAGTTCTGTCTCCACACATAGGAGATCGCTGCATGCGAAAGGCAAGGCTCAGAGACATGGGCAGCTCCTTCCATACCACCTGCAGCCACCCACTGAACTGG